ATGGAATGGAGGCACACTTCATTCCCAGCAAAGGTTAAGCCGAAGCAAATCTTGACACCTCGAAAAATGATGTGCACAGTGTTCTGGGACTGGAAAGATATTTTACTCATTGATTTCTTACCGCATGGTCAAACAATCAGAGCAGATGCTTATTGCGAGACACTTTGGAAATTGCGCCGCGCAATACAGAATAGGCGCTGAGGATTGCTGTCAAAAGGTGTTGTTTTTCTTCACGACAACGCACGACCACACACTGCAAATGTGACGAAAAACCTCCTACAGAGATTTGGCTGGGACGTGTTTGACCATCCTCCATACAGCCCTGACCTCGCTCCTAGCGACTTTCATCTGTTCTTACATCTTAAGTCTTTCCTTGGCGGTCAACACTTCAACAATGACGACGAGCTGAAAGAAACTGTTTCCAACTGGTTGAAGACACAGGCGGGGCAAATTTCTATGAAGAAGGTATACAAAAAACTTGTGCCACGCTATGACAAATGCCTGCAATATTTCGGCAGTTATGTGGAAAAGTAGTTTAAGAGTTGTTGAATTTTGTGCAATAAATAACTTTTCTGTAGCTGTACACAATTTACTTTTATTACCAAACGGAACTTACTTTCTGGACGTACATTGTACATCACACATACTTACCATTATACAACATTAAGCTAACTATTATACCCCACATTAATAGAAAACAAATTATACAACACACTTAATCGAATACTGTACATATACTGAAATAAAATGGCAAATAATACAATATAACAATCATCAAGTTGGCTCTGTGACTATGAATTCTTGTTAGAAACTGTTACATTTTACACAATACTAGAAACTGAAACAAAACATTTACACCCAATATTTCATGGTACTAGCTGAGAGCTGTACATATGTATTTACTATCATACTGCAAACTTACTTGAAAAACCTAACACAACGCATTTATTACTTAACAGTTGAATACACTGAGACAATATGTAAATTGAAACCACAGAATGCAAATACACAAATTAGCAATCTGGAGAGGACTACAGAAAGAAGTTGTAGTAAAGGTTCAAATCATAATAATTGTTTAAGTAACATAAAAATTCCTTACATAGTTGCCTTGTGGATAAGACTGCTGAACGTTGGTACTTTGATTTGGGTGTGGATTGTAATGAAAAAAAGTTTGCTGCGTGTTTGTTTTCATGGCTTTATTTTGTTAAACTTAATTACAAGCCAATTTATCTTAAAAAGTCTTCCATGAATGCAGGCTAATAGCTCTACTGCATTTTGTGTGTAGTGGAACTGAGTATCGCCACATTAAAAAAAAAATTTTTTGAAGTATGTCCACAAGGAATGGTTGAGAGAATAGACATGTGAGGACTTTTATAGAGATACTGTGTAATGAATAGCTTTTTCTGTGGGAAGTGAAAACTTGTTAAAACAGTGGTGTAATCATTAAAATTAAAGAAACTATGCAAAATACTAAATCAATCACCTCTGTTTAGTAAGGTTAAATAAAAAAAAAAATAACAAAAAAAAAAAAAAAGTAAATCAGCTTTATAATTCAATTTAGTAGTAGCTTCTAAATTCCTCATTTTTAATTTGGGTATTTCCTTTCTCTATTCGAAAAGTAGTAACTTTTCTAGACTGTGCCATTTCTAGATTAATCTATCTCACATGTCTTGCATAATGCTGATGAAGTAGCTAATTCGGAAACTACGAGGGCTATCCAGAAAGTAGATTACGTTTTGGAATAAAAAAATAAACAAAGTATAGGAAACAAATTTTATTATATACAGATGAAAGCCACACTCAAATACTACTTTTCTACATAGTCACCATACAAATTAAGGCATTTATCGTAGCGATGTACGAGCTTGGAAATTCCTTCGTCGAAAAATTCGGCCGCCTGCGCCTTCAACCACTTCGTAACCTCTTCTTGCAGCTGTGTGTCGTCTCATCAAAACGCTGCATAGCCAGCCACTTCTTCATTGCTGGGAATAGGTGGAAGTCGCTTGGTGCCAGGTCGGGACTGTACGGCGGATAATGAGGAAAACAACTCCCACTTAAAAGATTCAAGAACTTTACGAGTGACATTTGCCGTGTGGGGCCGGGGGCGTTGTCGTGAATCAACAAGATCTTAGAGCTCAACATTCCTCTGCGCTTGTTTTGAATTGCTCTTCTGAGTTTTGGAGAGTTTGGAAAATACCTTTGAGAGTTTATTGTAGTGCTCTTTCCAGGAAGTCCACCAAAATTACACCTTTTCTGTCCCAAAAAACAGTCGCCATCATCTTCCTTGCCGACATTGTTTGCATGCATTTCTTGGGTTTTGGGGAGAACTTGTGTGCCCCCACTGCATTGATTGGCAATTTCGTTTCACAGTTCACATGTTTCACCCATGTTTCGTCACAGTAACGATGCGATCGAGTCGAGGTAAAGAGTCACCTCCTTATGTAAGCGTCCAAAAAGTTCAACTCTGCAGCCATCGCTGATTTTTGTGGTCTCTGTCAGATTTTGGAATGGAATCCATCTTGCACAAAACTTGTGGTAACCAAGCTTTTCGCTGATATTTCGTGTGCAACAACTTCGCGAAATTTTGGTGGAAAACTAAAGAAAGAAAGTTCCGTTATTGTGAAATTTCAATTTTCACGGACTTAGCATCGACTTTTTCGAGAAGTTCGGCGGGTCACTATTGCTGGGTCTCCCTTCGATCTCGTCGTGAACATTGGTTCGGCCATTTTGAAATCTTATGACCCACTGACGCCACTCCACCTTCAGTGATAATGTTGTCCCCATACACTTCACGAAGCTGCCGATAGATTTCTATCGGTTTACAGTTTTTTGCAGTCAGAAACCTTATTACTGAGCGCACCTCGCAGCTCGCGGATTTTCAATTCACGCAGACATTTCAAACCGTCACAGTTCTGAACGGACAGCACGACCTCTCACTAGCACGGCTAGATGCAGACTGAGCTGCGCAACGCTCTGACCCCAAGATGGCCGCGCTAGCCCCGCCCCTAGCGGACACAGACGGAAACGTAATCTACTTCCTGGATGGCCCTCGTAAAATCAAAGTTGCGAAAACTGAAACTTTTTTTTTTTTTAATGAGCAACCTAAATTAAAACTTTCTCTTGCTGAGCCTCCATAGTGGACTATGGCAATTTTGCTGCCATAGTCCACTATGGAGTATGCCACTATTTGCACAATTTTGCTTCTACTTCTGTTACCGCCGATGCTGTTTCGCTCTGCTTTCTTACTATCACAACAATATCAAAAATGTAAATATTCTTGAGTAGGCGTGATTGGAGTGCCAAGTATACTGTAGCCACAAATATCAATTACAAATAAAAATGGAATTAAAACTGCTTCGACTGCAGTTTTTTAGTTTTTTAGATATTACGAACTCAACATATTAGCATACTGCACAACCAGATTTCTTCGTCTTTAATGTGGATCTATGATCTATACTATCTATGTGCTGTAGCACATAGTATTTCTGCAAGTCTATGTCTCGTTGTTCTTACACGAGTAGTACTAAATTTATTTTTATTATATATATATATAATGTTGTATGAAAAAAATCCATTAGTGCGAATACAATTTATTATTACTTGCGCAATTGCTGCAAAGTTAGTTAATAATAATTTATTTCCTAAACAGTATTGATTAATTGATTATATTATCTCCTAAGTTTAATTAAAGTAGAATTATTTTAAAAGAGTGAATCCATACTGGTAAGTTATATTTTGAAAGATGTTTTGAAGTAGTAATTTGAAAAGCAAAATGTTAATAATGTTTTTTTTAACGGGGACTAGAGTTAAATCATCATGAAGAATAATAATTTCAATTGTAAAAGTAAAAATTAAAACATGTAATCATTGTCATTGATCGGAAATTAGTTGACTTTTCAAGGGGAACAAACCAACTCCCGTTCAATGAACAATATTGATTGATAAAAATACGTAAATATGAAAGTGTTTCGTCTTTACTCGAGTTATAAGTTAAAGCCAAACCGGCAATTCTAGTCAGGCCAAATATTTCCGCGAATAGTTTGAATGTTATACTCAAAGAACTTATTCTTCATGAAGCATTTTAGTCAATTCAATTTGGAGTAAAAAATCAATTACTGTAGAGAAATCCGTAAAAACTCGAGTAATCGACTAGAATTGCCGGTTGGCTTTAACTTATAACTCGAGTAAAGACGAAACACTTTCATATTTACGTATTTTTATCAATTATTGATCATTGAACGGGAGTTGGTTTTGTTCCCCTTGAAAAGTCAACTAATTTCCGATCAATGACAATAATTACATGTTTTTTTTTACTTTTACAATTGTAATATTATTCTTCGTGATGATTTAACTCCAGTCCCCGTTAAAACATTATTAACATTTTGCTTTCAAATTACTTCAAAACATCTTTCAAAATAACTTACCAGTGTGGATGCACACTTTTAAAATAATTCTACTTAATTAAACTTAGGAGATAATATAATCAATTAATCAATACTGTTTAGGAAATAAATATATATATATATATATGTATGTATATTAGTTTATTATTAGAAAGGTTTATCATATATCATCTCCAAGGAACAGAAATTTAATTAAAGTGATGAATTATTGGAATAAATTTAGTCAGTATTTTAAGTTTAAGTAAAGTTATTAAAATTACTATAGTAGTAAAAAAAAAAAAAAAAAAAAAATTAACTGTAAAGAAATAATATTTTAAACCGTAAAAATTCTAAAAAGGAAAAATGTAAAGAATTGAAAAGATATTGTCATTGACCATAGATTAATTGACTTCTCAAGGAGAACAAACCAATCCACTATCATTTAACAATAACCAAATTAACTGAGAGTGTTTCATCTTTTTTACATGTAAGGATCAAATTAGTAATTTTGCTAGAGTTTAATCATAAGTTATGAACAAAACTTAAAAATCAGAAAGATTTTAGTGTGCTTGAGCCAAAAGATTTGTCATAAACAAAAACTATATATATATATTTCAGTTGCCGTTGCCAAGGAAAGTAGCAATAGTGAAGATTCAGTTATAAAAGCTATAGAAACTACCAAGACAAGCACATCACTAGATACATCTACAAATATATCAAGAAATGAAATCTTGCAGCCTCGTGTTCAGCCATCTGGTAGCCTTTTTAATCCAGTTCCAGGTCCATTGACAAAAGGTTCTCACCCACCAGAAACTGAGTTACATGATATAAAAGACAGTCTAAAAATGGTAATGGGAACAATGGTGAGCAAGAGTGACTACAATGAACTGTTGAAACAGGTTAGTGTCATATTTAAGTATTGTCATTGTTGTGATTTTTTATTTCCGAAAGTATTCATAGCTTTCTTGATGTTCAGTTTTATATATGATAATTTACTTGTGGAAAACTTAATACATTAAAATTTTGTTATCAAATCATCTACCTGTACCTGGTCATCCCCATTATTGGGTTAGATTCTTTTTATTCTGAATAATTCCTGTTTCATTTCTATGTGATGTATACTGATTATCAAGTCACTTTTAAAATGCTGATTCTGGCTTTCAGAAAGTATTTAGATTCATAGTGTGAACAAATTATTCATTTAGAGAAGGAAAATTTTCCTTTTTCTATAAAAATCTTTTCTGTAATTAGTTAAATTAATTTTAGTTTGATCAGCATTTTTACTTATATTGTATAAAAATCCATATATAAAGCTTTACTACTTATGGATATGGATATGGAGGTATTTAGGTTTTAACTCAGTAATTAGATGAAAAGACATTTTTATATATGGGCCATTTTTTAAGTAAGGTCCATTTCGCAATTAAAAAAAAATAATAATAAAATAAAAATTTTGAAAAATATATTTATTTTCTGAATTAATACACTGTTTCTATATAATTTCCTTGTCAGTTTAAACATTTATTATGAGAAGTAACAGTTTTGGGATAAGAAATTTGCCACCATGACAACAGAATTTTATGCGGACAGCAGTGATGGTAGGCAGTTATTCAGGGTCATTTCCACTTCTCCGTCAGTGGTTTTTTTTTTCCATGCCATTCTCTCAAATCAACTAACTGCATCAAATATCAGCCCATACAGATTGCCAACCAGAAGAACAAGATTTGTATTCGTTTTGTTCCCCTCCCCCTTCCTGCAGGACTATTAATTCTGTTTTGGCATTTTGCTTTCATTCACTACAAGCATTGTTTTATTTTTCATATTGTTGCCACCAAATATTATCACCCTGTATTATATTTAAAGAAATTAAATAATGAAGAATCTGCATGAATCTATGTACGTTTCTCACATTGTGATAAAATAATGATATCTAGAGCCTCAAATTTTGAATAATGTAATATCCTCCTGCGAATATGGGCAAATTTGGAATTTGTTTTATTATCAATTTCTTATTTTGTAAAACTTTAACGAATTTTTGGTTAACAAACTCAAGGATTTCAAAGCAAGCAATGGGGACATTGTACAGAAAAAACTTTTTTATTTCCAGTGCCCGAGACTGCGTCTTGGAAATTCTAAAAATATGCTCATTTTTAAATTATTTTGCAACATTGCTCTTGAACTGAATTTTAGGGTTTAAGTGTGAAGAACATGATATTTAATAAATAAAGGTAACACACAAAATGTTAAAAAAATGCCCCTTTGGACGTAATTTAAAATCTGAAACATTTCAGATTTATTATTATTATTTTAACAATCTCATCCATTTTTCCACTGTACTCATTATATCGTCACCTTACATTTCACATATCTAGTGATGAATATCCACAGCTTTCATGTTTTCTGCTGTTAAGAATTGGGTGATTGACTGTATTTCACAGTTGGCAGGGCACTTTAATCTCGCACTACAAAATGTATGGACTGATACTATGAATGCAAGTGGTGTTGGATTGTGTATCATTTTCGATCAAGCAAAATTTCACACAGTATTTACAAATGGTCCTTACTTAAAAAATAGCTCTCGTATTAATTGCCAATAACAGTATTGTTATTCCACAAAATAATAATTGTTAATGATGTTATTTATAGAGTAGTATTCTAATAATTTGAACAGCTTTGGATTAAGAGGTTTGTGAAATAAAAAATTTTGAAGATTGTAGGTCGTCTTTCCAAATTTTACCCCTACCTCACATTTTTCTCTTTTATAAATTTTACATTATATTTGGATTTTTTCCACATAAATAGCTAATCAAAATATATTAATCCTTGCATATTATATAAAATTATTATATTTAAAAGAAAAATGAAAATTTGAAGGCTTTAAGTTTTTATATTATGTCCTAAAGGACAATTTTTTAACGTTTTGTGTGTTACTTTTATTTATTAAATATCATGTTCTTCGCACTTAAACCACTTAAAATTCACTTCAACAGCAATATCACAAAATATTTAAAAACAGCATATCTTTAGAATTTCCAATACAGTCTCGCGTGCTGGACATAAAAATGTTTTTTTTCCGTACAGTGTTGGCTTTGAAATGGTTGAGTTTGTTAATCGACATAAGTTTTACAAAATATGAAATAGGTAATAAAATAAATTCAAAATTTGAACCTCTAAGTTCCCTTGTTCGATTGGAGGACTATGTTATAATCAGGGCTGTGGAGTCGGTAGGGAAAATGTCCGACTCTCTCATATATATGTAAACATATACTCATGGGTTACAGCTTATTTTTTTAATATAAAAGAAATAATAGATGCTACAGAAAAAAATGATGGCATAGCAAATTATTTATATTAACATTTATAATGAAATGGAAAAATTGGCATTAGTAATTTCTAAAAATAGATAGCTTTGGCAAGTTCTTTGTTAGAGGACTGTAGATCCGATCTGATAAACTTCAGAGCTGAGTATTTCCACCATGACTTGAGTAGGAGGAAGAGGTATTACTGTTAGGGCTACTTCTTTTAACTTTTTAGGATAGATTTTTATAAGTTCTAAAAGAGTTGTCTTGCAAGAGTGATCACATTTCTCTATTTCTTCAAAGGCTGTGTAGAAATCCCATTTGTATTTTTTCATTTTCATATCTAAAGGCTCTTGATTCTTTATTTTCATTGGCTTTGCCCTAGCCTTTTCAATATTATCCAAATATTTCTCAAAATCTAATTCATCCCTGGAAGAGGATTAGAGACTCAGTTGCAATGACTGCAGTTTGACTGTCCTGATTTGAATACTCCATTTGTTTTGAGAATAATTTCATTCTTAATGAAAGTTCATAGATGGCTTTCTTTGCTTTTCTAATTTGTTTGTCATTCAACAAAATTTGGTGTTTCAGATCTACATATATTGAACCCAGCAATATCTCATTGTTTAGCAAACTAGTTTCTCTTTTCTTCATTGAAGAAATAATTCCTTCTGCTATAAACTCTCCATTTAAGAAAGAACAAACATCAAATTCTTCCATTCTCGCTTCTTGTTAATTCTTCAGATTGTAGCTTTTTGTGACTACATACAGTGTAGAAAGAAGAGTTTCCAATTATACAAGATAATTCCACAGTCTTTTCCTTAGTGAAACATTAGGATTATCTGATAAAAAAGTTCTTAATTCTAACAACCTCTATATCATCAAGTATGTACTTCCCGTCAAGTTGCTTGATCAATAATTGCTCCTTTTCCTGCTTGCTTCCCAAGAATGGCATCAGTTTTGGGAGTTCTTGCTGCTATTGCTGCTTATTTAAATTTACCAAGTGAAGACTTATAACTAAATGAATCAGTTTAATCAACTAATCAGCAAATATCGCACATCCATCCTCCTTCCTTATATTTATTTATTAATATGTCTATAAAATAGAAAATAACTATTTATTAATGTACATAGTCCATAAATAAAAATAGTAATTCAGTTTGTCATTAAATGTTTTTTTCAATTCACTTTAATTTCATTTCAAATTCAAACTGTCCAGCAAAAACTAGAGTTGGGAGTCAACGTGTTTTTAGCGACTCCAGCTCTGTTTATAATGCATAGTGGAAACAGTTTGAAAAGTGAATCAACGCTGAAAGTGAAACGACGCAAAATGCTGTTTTGAGACTAATAGCCTTTTCGGTCTAACGCCCCCTTCGGGCTAATAACTCAAAACTATAACAAGTGCATAAATATACTGTTTGCAAAATGTCCAACATTGAAGTTTTTATTGCCAATGTAAATAAACAGGCTTGTTCATTGCACAGATTGTAAACAAACCAAACGGATGCTTTAAAAGTTAGAACTTAATATTTAAAAAGCTGTATGCAAATAAATGTTTCTCAAAATTAATTTTTAAAGACAGTAGAATGTGTACCTTGAAGAGATTTTTTTAAATCAAAAAATTTTCTGTAATTCATCATCTATGTTTATTACAGAAAGAGAGCAATGCTATGCATGCAGTAAATGTTATTTTAAGTAAAAAAATTAATTTACTTCTATGAATGAAATACATTTTTGTTAAAATGTTTATTTGCATATGAGTATAAGAAAAAATGCCGTTAAATTTGCTGTACTGATTTTCTAAACATAGAAACATTGTTTCTTTACATCTAAAAGTGAATGCAGGTCATTGGTATTTGAAAATAAAAGTTGCAGATTATCAAAATTCTACTGTTATTCTATTATGTTTGTTAAAATCTTCGTAATTTTATTTTTCCATTTCCTTTAAGGTTAAGGAACTGAAAGAAATTTTGGAAACATACAATAATAACTGCAACAAAGCCATAATTGGCTTGAAATCAGAATTGGAAGAAGAGAAAAAACTGCGCAGAGCTGTTGAAACGGAGCTTCAACAAATAAAAGAACGCCAAACTACCTAACATCAAAGCAAATTAGAATATTTTGAAAATATGCCAATATTGTCCTTTCAGAAATTGTATGCATTCCATTTTATAGTAATGAAATATTTTAGTATTATTTTTGCATAACATATTTCTACAAACTGTGAATAGTTAGTATCCAAATATGGTTAATTATTTTTCCATTGTTGAATTGATTGCTGTCGTTAAGGTTTAAAATGGATCTTGGGTGCTGAATGCAATATAATATATATTAATTTATTGTATAAATATAGAAATAGAAAGTGTTTATGGGATTGTATAAGGAAAACTTTGTATCAAATTACTATACATATTAATAACTGAAAACATATTGATCCTAATTTATACTCATAAATCTTATTTAAATTAGAGTTTATATGATGATCATATAACATAAAGTTGGGAAGACATCTTAAATAAGTCCCAATCAGAACATTTTATTATTATTATTATTTATTTGACAATACTAGAAATTTTCTGCAACTCAAATTTAGTTGTTATAAAATAACTCAAACCGAAAAGAAAGAAAAGGTCTTTGAAGCATATTTATGTTAGCAAGAACTAAGTTCAAACTTCAGAATTAAATTCTGCACAATAAACACTTGTAGTTTGAAATTAATAAATAAAATTCATGTTTAATATTTTTAAGAGTTACACTTTAAAATTGAGTTTTAATAATGGAGGTTAATCACAGGATTTCAAAAATTTCGTTTTCTTAGATCTTGTAGTAAATAAAAATGTTTGTAATTCCCAAATAAAATTTTTATATCTAAACACAAGTGTAATGTAATGCAGTCCTAAAATCTTTTGGATTTTAAGACTAGTATAAATATTGAACTTCTGCTAGAGTAGCATAATGATTGGCCTCTGTAACTAAATAAAGTGGCACAGTCCAATCAATTTTCATGGTGTAATAAGATATAAATATTTACAAATTTATTTGAAAGGGAATATACAAACCTGTGTATGGTACCAAAAAAATTATATTAAATTAAAATGGGAAATTCTACAAAGAATGTTCATTAGAATATACCCAGGAAATTTTGTGTTGTATTTTTTGAAGAAAAAAATCAATCTGCATGCAAATAGAGCAAAATGCTTTTTACGATTTAGTAAAAAAAATTTGCCTAAATCATGAAAATATGTGTTGCTAAAATACAGTATTATATCTAGCATAAATCATATATAATTGTTGTATGCACAAATATTAAAACTGTAGTAAATTTTATTCTTTTATTGTAGTATAAAAATGATCAATTATTTTAACTGTTTATTAAAAATGAAAATGTTGCCTCCCCCTTCCAATATAATTGGCAGAATCATCCCTCCTAATTTGAATATACACTTGTTGAAACATTAGTTTTATTCAATTTAGTCCACATTTTATTAGGAAAAGTGGATTGGTTGAGAAATTTTTACACATGTCCAATAAAGAATTTAATGCACAATTATTGAACTTCAAATTATTTTTGGCAATGATGAATTAAACCATGCAATTATTTCAAAATATTTTATAACTTATTTTTTCTAGGGTAAGAAAAATGTATTTTCAAAGCATGAAAAGTGATATGACTAAGTAATTTGGAAGAAATGCATGTTATTTATGAAGACACTGCACCAATTTGAAATACATTGAAATTAAAAACACTTGGTTAACATACTTTTATTATGCACTAGAAGTATGCTGTTATGTATTAGGAAAGATGAAAACTGGCATCATAAATTATGCACTTGTAAACTAGTTAAAACCATGATATTTAAACTCAAAACTGTTATATTTATTTTCGCACATTTCTCCTGTTAGGTGGCATTCCCATGTATTATGAAATGAGTAATATTTAATTAACAAGTAATTTTAGTATTATTTCCTTTTAATTTGTGTTAAATAAGTATCTCCAACTTTAGTTTGCAGGTATTAAATTTTCTGAAACAGAAATGGAAAGAAAGCACTGTAATAAATAAGTTTTTATTAAATATTTAGAACCTGCAAATAATTAAATTTGGATGTGCAGAAATAAGTAATAATAAAGTGGAATAATATTTGTCTGCTGCCATGGAACACCGTTTTCTATTTTGAATTTCAAGTTGTGGATTTTTCACCCAAAATTTAGTCTTTCAGCCACTGATCGTGACCAAATTTTGATAATATTTTTTTAATTTTTAATGTAAATCATATATATTTTGTGTGAAGAAAAAGATAAATTATCAAAATTGCATCTCAATTTGATCTGCAGCTGTAAGACCAAATTTTGAATAAAAAATAGAGTGAAAAATCAAAATATCAAAATTTTGATCAATATAGCGTGTATTTTGTTGTAACATCCTTAAATTCTAGTGTTCCATGGCAAAAGACATTAAACTGCTAAACAATGTTATTGTACAATATGTGAATAGCTAAGATAATCTAAATTAACTGATGAACTTCTGGTTATGGATAATTTTCCTATCAATGGACAAAGTTATGAATTAGAAATATAAATGTTCTCGTGAGTTGAGGAATTTTTTATTATATGGAAATAAGTAAGACTGAATAGCAATAATTAATTAGCATAAAAATAGCTTTTTTCATAATTTTATAATTAGATCAGTTCACTTTTGATTAAAGAATAAGCTTGCATGCAGATATATATTTGAATTATTGAAGTGAATATTCAGTATAATGTAATTTATGTAAAAACATGTATTTCACCTAAGTTTGGGAAGTACTTAACACATTTGCTGCTGATCATGCACTGGTGTGTGATTGGCATTATTGCTGAAGAGCCAATCACGCTCTGACATGTAATGTGGTGTGTTGTCTCAAGTGCAGGTAATGCTCGTGAGGGGAAAAGCAACCTCTGATTGTTTAATTTTGAGTTCAATCGGCATTAGGATTTGAATATGCATGCTGCTATTGGCATGGAGTGAAGGTTAGAAACTAGTTGTAAATGTATGTTGTTTTTGTTTAATTTTGAGTTCAATCGGCATTACAATTTGAATATGCATGCTGCTGTTGGCATGGAGTGAAGGTTAGAAACTAGTTGTAAATGTATGTTGTTTGGAATGAAAATAAAGTTTCATTCCATGCAAAGATCATACACGAATAACATTTTGAAATATATAGTTTGCAATAATATCATTGTAACTGTCTTATAATAAATTCATGTGTAATTAATTATATATATATATTTGTTTGTGATATAGTTTCATACAAAAATAATACATATTGTTACTTATTTGGATTCATTTTTAAATGCCAAACGCCAGTGTGAAATGTGGCATTGCAGAAATAATTCTTATAATAAGTAGGTTGGCATATGGGTACAATCTATTTCTACAACACAGCATTAACTATTAACACAACCCTCACATAACCAGCAGTGAAAGTGTTAATTGCTAAGTCAGCAGAATGCATTATAACAGAAAACTGTTGCTCAATCAAATAAGCATTTATATTAGCATTAAGGCCAAGAATGTTAAAAAATTTGCCTTTTTTCCCCCATTAACTCCTTATTTTGACTTTATTACAATGATTTTTCTTTCTCTTTTTATGATTGAAAGCAGTCAGTATACTATATTATTGTTTTAAAGAATGACTGTGTTTAATAAATTAAAAAGAAAAGGGGGGAAATGATTCTGAACCAGACAAAATATAAGCATAAACATGAAATTGTCACTATCAAAATGCCATTCACTATAGTATTGGTACGTGTAAGTTAATTAGACTATATTTGCTACATTGTGCATACATTACATTTGCTAAACTACATTTTGCTAAGTATGTTCATTAGCGATTATATAAGTAACTTTATTCCATAATTTTCCTTACATTTTTTTACTGTATTATATATTTTTGTAATTATTTGACACTATATTCAGTATGAAAATAATTTATTAAATATGTATGTTTATGTCAGTTCTTTTGAAAATTTATGACTTTGTAAATTAATTTGTATAGTCTTGTTAATCATATCCGAGCTGCAATTGATCAGTTTTCTTATGTCAAGATCTTTTGAACTGCCTGTGCTTTCATTGCATTTATTCAGTGTTTTTTGCCAGTGATTTGCATCATTTGTAATTTTAAATTAAGAACTATTTGAATTAGCTTTCTTATAAATATTAAGTTTAATATGCATGCCTTTCTTATTATTCTGAGTTTTAATTCAGTTAAAAGCGTATTTGTTATAAGCTAACAATTTAGATAAATATTTTTTTCATAACTGGAAGATACAAATATTGATTTTCATTATGGGGAAATATTATATACATTTCAGATTTGACTTATTTAGTGTATTTAAAAGAAATGAGGTGTCCTGTTCAATACGTTCTGTTTATTTTTTCCCAATAGTTAAAAGTTTAACAAGAGACTTAAGATATCATGCACCTCAAATGTTCAAAAAGTAAAATTTTTATGATATTGGATCTGATTTTTTAGTACATGTGTTGATCTGTAACATGAAAATCTAACATTATAGAACTGTTAATACTTACAAAAAATTTTATAAAACCAAATGTAAAAAATAAAAATAAGTGCTGTACATGACAAAAATATTTAAAACCTGTGGTGAAACATTTATATTTTGATGCATGAATTGAACAGTTAAGGTGCTTGTGTTTCTGAAATATTAATAGTAGAAAGAATTTAATTTCATACATTCAAAGTATAAATACTGAGTCTGAATAAATATGTTAATTGTTCCATCCTTTCTTTACTCTTTCAAAATACTTAAAAATTCAGTTTTCAGGTCTAGTCAGTTTGTATATGATTTACTAGGCTGTTTGCACATTTTCATTGTAATTACAAAAATATTTTATCTAAAATTTTTATGTTTCAAATGTTCTATCCCTTATTCTTTACTTTTATATACACCATAGGAGGTTGTAGGTCAATGCTTGGATAACCTGCTTTTTAAAAGCACAAAAAGGCGTTGGTGATAGGTCAGGAAATTTAGTAAGAAAATTAGTAAAGGGTATGGCCTTGATACCTTGGATTTTAGTTTATAATTGTTCCATTAACAGTAGATTTTGACGTGCCACTGTTTGCTTTATCTTGATGCAGTTCTACTGATTGATCACACTGTGTGTAAAGAGAAGGTATTTCATATTTGAAAAATTGGTGTAAAATATGTTTTTGATAATATGTGGAGATGATCTGAACATTTTTCTCCATTTTCTTTATTTTTAATTTCCCATATATGAAAAACCAGGAACAATCATAAATCCCTTAGGAAAACTTTCTTTAGATTCCTTGGACCGTGTTTTAAGATTTTTTTTATCCTCTCTGATGATGATAAATGGATCTCTTTTTATCACAGTCATTTAAGTACACCCAAGATTCGTCTATTGTGGTAACATTTTTCCACATGAAGAATTCTGCAGTTCATTCTGCATTATGTCGTGGAGAAAGACTTTTCACCTTAAGATTCAAATCAGCATTAATCCTTTTTTTTTTTTTTTTTTTCAGTTGACACTGAACATTTTACTGATTTTGCAACTGTACTTGGTTTTATTTTAATATTAAATATCTTACTTTTGCAACATTCTGTTTTTTACAACATTAGCTATCGTAGCTTTAGATATTGAAAAACCGTGTTCATGATGTTTTTTAATAACTACATATAAATAATTTTCTTCCAAAAGAACACAAGCATATCTTTCTACCCATTACTTCTCTAAAAGCGACATTCTGCATGGAAACAAAACTGTCAAGTAGCAGACAATAAATTATACTTTCAAAAATATAGTTTCAGTTAAAAAAATTTCCAAGTAGATGATTTTTTGACAGCAAAGCAAAATTATCTAAAAAATATGCAAGCAGCCTATTATTAAAAGGTAAACTATGCTAGAAAATTTATATTTTCTTGCATAGTTATCAGTATTAGTCAGAATATTGGGAAAATCTTGTTGCCTTATTACCTTGCAATTTAATTTTTTTTAAAAAGTTCATTAATTTAATCATACAAATATTCATTTTACTCATTTTGGAGGATATATATACATTATTGGGGAGGTTCACTTGAAACAAAATTAAAATGTATAGTGTTGAAATTATAATTATCAAAGCTAGCAAATATATTTTATTGATTACATTCAACTATTAATATAGTTTTTATTGCTCTAATTATATGGCCTGAAATCTTAGAGAGCTTAATCGTTTCTTATTATCAGTAATTAAATGTTGAGTTTTGTACATCACTAGATTACTTGAAATTATGTCATATATATATATAAAGATAGAATTTTGGGGGATTTTTAGATAAAGTATTTTCTATATCAGATATTGAATTTCAAAATAATAATTAGCAAAACTAAAGAAAATTTTCAATAAAATGTTTTAAATATACTATTACAGTTATTATTTTCTATGTCTTTGATTTTAGTAATTTTAATAAGTATTTTTTATTTTTATAAGTTTTTAATTTAATTAAAAATTTGAATTTTAAAAGCATTAGGAATTATATTAACTTCATTTTTCAATTTTTTTACTGTTTCTGCCTATAGATGGCATTACTCTCTTGTTCCCTTTGCTCTTTTTTGGGTATAAATGAAACTAGCTTTCCCTGCATTGCAGATTTCTTTGCTTCTGATGAAGAGATATCTGTACTTGTTAAGCCCTTAAAATCGAGTCTTGACCATATTCTATGTCAAACACAACGTTGCTTTAGCTTAATTTTATGTTTTACTTTGCCATATTTCTCTTTGGTCTTGAACTTTATAAGCTTTTAATTATTTTATTTATCTTGAACAATTTCTGGATTATTGTGAATTGTTGATTTTTTTAATGAAAAAGTAAGAGTTGCCTCAAATATTGTTAATCACCGGTTTGATACATTTGTAATAGCCTTAGCACTTTTCAACCGTCCATTCCTGTCCTTGAATGAAACCTGACAATGCATATACTTGCATAAACTTTTTACCACTTTTATTGCCTTCAAATATTTAATTCTATATGCAGATCTCTTACAAATTTCAGCGTTTTCATTATACCTGTCTTGCACATTAGCTTTTTCTGCATTCCAGACTTTTGTACATTATTATATATATGAATATTTTAGCTTGTGTTTCTGCACAATATATCTGAAAATGCACAATATTGACTTGAATATTGGGATAGGAGGAAAAACTTTTACATTCCAAGAGATGATATGATAAACTTTTGTTATTTGCTAGAATATTACAAGTTTTGAAATGTTTACAGTTTTTTGTGCATTTAAATTTTATAAATAAGAATTAGTTTTGTCATATTTGATTTGTTTTAAGCAAAATAATAATAATAACAAATAAAAGGAATTGTGATTAAATTCCTTCTGTTTCATCAAAGTATGTCTTCTAAATTGTATGCAACAATTTATTTTTTTGCCTTTCATTTCCATTATGATTCATAAGTTGAAAATTATTTAATGTTTATGTAGATTTTAAACTTCTGAAACAGATGAAAACAATCATGTAATTTCTGGCAATGTGTTAATGCTTAGGAAATGTGATGTGTTACGTACTAAGACATTTATTGCTTGTTAAGACAGAATATATAGTTATCAATTTTTATAGGTGATACTGTTTTTAAAAATATCAGAATTTATATGTTTCAGGTGTTGTAAATATTTGTACATAAATGCGAGTGGCAGATTGTGAAAACTTTTAATGCCACATATGACTTAATGAATCCTTGTGCAATTACTACACATGCATTTAACAAAATATCAAATTTTCAAACTATGTAAAATATATCTGAAATAAAAATCAATTTCTAAATATAGTCATTTGGACTTGAAGATCTCGTGTATGAGAGCTATACTTGTTATTATATTAGCATATTTTAAAAGGATAGTGACTGAAAAAAAGCTATACCATTGCCATGCTCTAATGTTAGATTTTGATATGTAGTTTATTGTGGTATCTAATATGAAAAAAAAAACTGCACTTTTCGTACAGCTCAGTTTTTTGCATTTTGAATATTTAGTACTTTTTTATGATTAAATTATATATGTGCTTGCTTTCAAAATGTTTGTGTGAATCTTATATACCTTATGTTAAATATATTCATTCTCAGCTGTGCTGATGGAAATGTCATCTTAACTGCAATCATTGTTTTGTTCAAAAAATAAATATTTTATTTATAAGATTTGAAATATTTTACATACATTAACATATGGCATTGAAATATTTATACATAAAATTTATAAAGTAATTGGTCAGCATCCTTTATTATAATCGATTTACAAATTTGCAACAGTAGCAACTTCATTTATTCAATGATATAATCCATAAGTGCCTAGGCAAGGGAGGAAAAAACATCCACATTACACTAAAATATTAGCCAATACAATTTATTAAAATTATCACAGTAAATTATATATTTTGCATTAACTAGCACTTAAGTTATGATTAGTTATGGTTTTCTGGACAGAAGAAATTTTGATTTATAAAATGTAAAATTTAAATGTTTATATAGTTTTCATATAGCAGAATTCCAATTAGTAAAATATTAGTTTCAATGAGCTATAGTTCAATACTTTCATGTGTAAAATTTGGTTTTCCCTTACACTGAGAACTCTGCTATTTGGATTTCGTATAAATCATGCCCTATACAGGACTCTGAGTATCTGGCAAAATCAGAAAACTTTCTCCTGCTAAATACCAGGTCAAACAATGAAAGTAACAAAGTGTAAAAATCTGTAGAGATCTTTGAAAACAAATTTGTCAACTTGGATCACTTTTTATATCAACCACTGATAATATTCAATACCATTTTGAGTAAATTTAGAAGCCAGCTGCAAAATAAAATTGCTTATTTTGACAGTTAATGGTTCCATATTGGATAAAAACGTACTCATTATTTATATTTAATAAGCCTTAAGAATTTTGCACATAAAAGTATCAGTTGAATTGTTTGATTATAACAAAGCACTTAAGTGCAATCTGTGATATGGGAAGATGCCTTTTTCGAGGATTTTCTAAGGAAAACTTACTCGTATTGATGTTGCAGATGGAGCAAAATCACAAAAAATTCCATGCAACTAGCATGTTTACTATGATGATCAAAGTTATCAATTTGACCACTGTTTAATCGATAAAGGTATGAAACGTTTTGTATTTAAATTTTGTAAACTAATGAGAATTTTACTTTATGGGGATCTTTGAAAAATATAATCTTATATTTCCAAAATTCTCTCACCTTACTGAAATTGTTCTTATAAAATTCTTTATCATATTCTGAGAAGCTCTGCGATTAGAAGTATGAGCTTGTAATCAAAATACGGGTAACATATTTTTACACTTAACTGTTAGCATTCTGTATACTCTGAAAAAATTCACCCTCACAAATATTTTAAATTGAAAAAATTATTAATGATGCCATTCTTCTTTTTTAAAAGTAGTCTTTGTCAATGATTAAAGCACATACCAAAAATATTACAAATAATTTTCATTTATAACGTAAGGTTATTGCATTCTAATATATATGAACGAAAACAGAGAAAAGCAGTAATATTTCAGTTAATAAACAGTATGTATGATGCTAGATGTTTAGTCACAGTTAACCAATAATCTACATACATGCTTGTATGATATAAGATGGACAAACATTTAGTGGAAGCTATTGAAGTCTTGAAGCGTATATAAAAATATTACGTTAGTACAACATACAGTGAAAATTCATTTACCCTTGCTGTTAATGCCACTAAAAACACTGGAAATAAATTTCAATCTAAAAAATTCATAGTTCTGTAACCAATAATGCGGAAAAGACGAAACAATAATTTGTTGCTTACATCATATGGTTGTTCAGCATATATACTTAATTATTGGCCAAAGATTTAAATACATCAGATATTTGAGCATATTATTCAAGTCAGTCTTTTTGGATAAAATACAGAAAGATAATTGGAATATATTGCTGAAGATGTTAAAAGTTTGGGAAGATCTTGAAGACAACTTAGAAATGTCTTGAAGCGTATATAAAATTATTTAAAACATGATATGAACAAAAACACACAGCATTTTTTAACATACATGTGAAAAGAAACCATTGGAATTAATGAAAAAAAAAAAAAAGCCTACATAGCTTTGTTCAGTATTACATTGAACGCTGTAATTCATACTACACCATAGACTGATATTTGAAAATGAGGCAATTGAAAATCGGTAACCACATCTATGCGGTCAAACTTGCTTTTGTGAAAAAATGCAAGCGGGGAAAAAATTTTATATCGTTGAAATGTTAAGCACACCACAAGCTTCCTCAGCATGAATTGAAAAAATGCTTTTACTTCTTGAACTATATGCAGAAAATTGAGAAATCAGTTAAGAGATGAAAAGGCAGTTTTTTTTTTTTCTTTCTTTCTTTCTTACTGAATGCAAATAACATATCTGCAATAATGCAAATACAATGTGATAAATTATTTTGAAAAGTTATGCAGATTCGAGATGTAAATTTCAATCCTGTGGTTATATTTGCTGATTTTTTCATAACTTGCACACAAAATATATATATATAACTACAGGAGTGTTTTGTTTTGTTTAATATACGAGGCGTGAAAAAAAAAAAAAAAAACTCGAGACTGTGTCGCTTGAAAACAGAGTGGAGTGGGCAAAAACTGTTTTGGTGGTGTCATGCGACAGACCTCCTCTATCCATGCGCCCAGTTTTGACTTAACCGACGATGCCAGTGGGGAGTACTGCGTCATTGAGTGAACACATGCAATTGCATTCTGCCAGAAAAATGTCTAATGTAAAAAACTGAACAGCGAATCAACATCAAGTTTCTCATGAAACTTAAGAAATAAGCCACAGAGGAAGAAGCATTTCAAATATTAACCGAGGCTTATGGAGATAAAACTTTGTCTCATGCATGTGTGTTTGAATGGCATGAGCAATTTTCAGGGGGAAGGGACAGTGTGGAAGATGTTCATCATGATTGAATGGATTCCCAGTGGTCAGACTGTTAATTAACACTACTACATTGAAGTACTAAAAAGAATTTGCGAAAAAATTGGGGGAAGGCCACAGTTGTGGAGTGATGGATGCACCAGGACAATGCACCCACTCACACGACCCTATTTGTCAATTAGTTTCTGACCAGCAAAAACATTACTGTAACGGGGCATCCTCCTTATTCACTTGATTTGGCTCCATCTGACCTTTTTTTTAATTCCTAAAGTAAAATCTTAGTTAAAGGGAACCCATTTTACCTCAGATGAAGAGGTTCTGGCAAAAACGGAGAATCTCCTGAAGGCATTCCAAAAACTTCATTCCAGAACTGTTACTAGCAATGGCAGCACCGAATGCAGAAGTGTGTGAATGCTGAAGGAAACTACTTGAAGGTGATAACGTCACGGAGAACTCATTCTGTAACTACAATGATTTATTGGACCAGTCTTTTTTTTTTTGTGTGTGTGTGTCATATCTTGTATATACAGCAGTGAAATATAGGGTGCTTGCACAAACCCTTTGTTTTAAAACTGTGTCTAATTTATAAACCTTTTGTTCTTTCTATTAGCTTATTTATTTCAAGAAGTACACGTTTCATGCTTCATAATCATACTTTGATTTATGTTGGCATTTCTCTTACAAGAATTAGTGTCTCATCTGGATTCATTTAAATATTTACACAGAAACCCATTGTAATAGCCTAAAATTTAAGTAGGAGTTGGGAAAATGCCATTTGTTTTCAATAAATTAACTGCTGGGTATCAAATTGTTTAACATCAAAATAGAGAGCTGATGTCTTGTTATTTAGTTTCCCATTAACAGATGAATTATACAAGCTCTTCTTTGATTATTCTGCATATTTTGGATTTAATGATAATCTGCTTGAATGGAAAATCTTTAAAACAATATAAAAAATGTGAAAAATTATGTCACAGCTTTAGAACCTCCTAGAAGATGAACTGACACCAATGAAGAAGAAATAATGTCCAACAGTTTCTGGCGTAAAATGCGCCACATATTTTAATTTACTTATTACTTAATGTAATTGGGGATATTTATTTATTTTTAATTTTAAAAGTTCTTTTCCTTTCATGTACAATTATTTGTTTTTCTGTAATCATTAGAACTTGATATTTTGGTTTTATAAGATGAAGCCCTTAGCTAAAATTTTCATAGTACATCAGCGTAGAGCATCAAAGAAAGGAGGAACCAGAGTTTAAATTGCGGCAGAGCCCACCGGAGTCCAGCTCTGGTACTTCTTAGTTTTGGGGATATATTCTAATTCTAGTCAGAGTGCACTAGAGCCCTTTTTGAAGATGGCTGCGGCACCTTTTTTATGTAACTGAAAAATTATTTCAGCAGAAATTTGATTTAGAAAATTTTACTTTTAGCAATAAAATTACATAAAAAAACACTTATTAAATTTTAATTTATCTCTTTAAATTTTATTTAATTATAATCTTTAATTATTTTAATAATTTAATTGTGAATTAGTTAAATAATAATTATAAACTAAATACTAATTAAATAAATATTAATTATTAATGTCAATTAGATAAGTATTAATTAACTTGATACTCATTAACAATTTAATTTTTAAATTATTAAAGATTTTAATAGTCATTTTATTTAGTTATTTACTCTTGCTGCTGTATCCTGACGGTCTTCCACAGGGCTCTGACACTTCTACTTTTAGAAATTAAGCCCTGGGAGGAACCACAAAAAGGTCTTTAGGTATTCAGGAAAGTGAGCACCAAAACATTTCCCATTGCCAGGTTTTATGATGCAGCTAAACCAAATCCTAGAGAGAGAAGGAATGAAGAAACAAGTGACGTAAATGTATGGAGGGGCACCCAAATCTTCTAAGTGCTTAGAGCCTCTAAATGTCTTAATCTGGCCCTGACTTTATACAGGGTGATTCTAAATTGCTCTTTTTTTTTTTTTTTTTTTCAAATTAAGAGGGGTGACAGTACTCATCCAGATGAAAAATAATTACCTTAGAACATAGAGTCACATTCCACTCTGAGAGGCAGAAAAGAGGAATATTAGAATTCCAACCTGAACTTACAACAGTGTTGGGAGAGCGAATGAACAAGACCAAAAGTTGTGCAATCAGTTTAGTAAAAATCTCGCAGAGAGTGCACAAAATGGATAAAACTGAAAACTTGGTGTTCGAGTGTTAATTCGTGCTCAGACTTGGATGGCAAACACTCAGATGGACATCTTTGGTTCACAAGGTCCCAACCTCGCAAACAATTGCAACAAGTTAATTATCATTGCATGCCTTTGCTATGGCAGTACTCATAGCCAGCAATTTAAGTTAGGTGATCAAGTAATCCCATAGCTAGCAAATAAACTCAAGTTTGCCAACTATATGTATCTTGTAGATGGTGGAGAACATGTTCCAAAATTGTGGCTGTAAAAATACGGAAGTATCTATAATGCTTTAAGATTTTTTTTTTTTCGTCTTAATTAATTAAATTATCTTGGCTTACAGTGGTGTCAGAAAAATCAGACAGATTAAACAAAAAAAATTTTAAAATAATAATAATGCACATATTTTCACATGCTGTAGTTACATTAAGAATATAAAACAGTGAGGTAGCTGAGACTATTTTTTATGCTTAATGCTAACATGTTTCAAAAGTGGTTATTTTGGGTCGTAAGCTAAATGTTATTGAAATGATTTTTAAAAAAAGGCCAATAAAACTTTAGGTTAATTAAGAAATGACTCCTCGTTAGGATTTCAGGCAAATTTTGATTTTCAGCTGAAAAAAGTAAAACCATGCACTTGCTGATAATAATTGAACTGAGTCATCACTAATGGGTTTTACCTATTATAAGTAAATATTGAATATTAACACTCACTAAAAATGCAGTGCTAGCTGTACTCATCTAAAATGAAATTCTTATTTTTTTTTTTTTTTTTTTTTTTTAATTTCTGAAATACTGGAAATTTATTCCGAGCTTTTATTTTGTATTAGATTTCTCTTGTGCTTATTTGTTTTTATAACATCACATTATTTATTAATTATATAAGGAAAATTTACATACCTTATTAGCCTTTTCCATGGAATCTATAAGTGTCTTCAGTTCCTTTTTTGATAAATCTAAACAAAGTAACTTATCATAGTCACCTATTATATCAAGATCTAAAAGTAGTCTAGGCTCATTAATCTGTGCCATCTTATCACTTGCAAGGGTCAACTAAAAAGTAAATAGAGACAATGAAGTTCTCAGTTCCAATACATGCCAAAATAACAAGGTATGTATAAGTTGATATAAAAAATTTAAGAGCCTAAATAGTAAAAAATAAATAGATAAATAAAGCATGTTTACATTTGTTGGAGATACTAAGGCAACAAGAATCAGCATAGTTTTCATAAATTTACAAGACTAGTTTGGCTTTATTCTCGTCACTACAGATGAAGAAGATCCTTTATTCAAACCTTCGAAACATCCTCCAAATTTATGAAACTTATGCTGGTTCTTGTTGCCTTAGTACAGAGGTTGGCAAACTCATCAGTCAAAGGAGCCAAAAATCATCAGTACAACGATTAATAAAATTTCTTTTCAACACCCCTGGTTTTTGAAGTCGGTTTAAACTAGTTACTAGCATTAAATAAAATCAGATATCGTAACAATAATAATCTTATGTATTGACAAAAATGATTTTTACATTAAAAATATGACAACACAAATTTAATGTGAACAATGACCATGTATTTCCTTGGAAAGTAGGTTAGTACATCATTTTTAATTTCAAACAGGATTCCGGGCTTTCATTAATAAGATAATTTCTCTATTTATTTTTGATAAGGTTCATGCTTGAAAAAGATTATTAACATGAATATATAGAACCAAAGAGTGAAAGAACAGCAAATGTTAATTTCTTTAGAGGGTAAAAAAAGTCAGAAATAATTATAACTCAGGAAAACTATTCTAGGTGTTGAAAATTATCATGTCTTCCTTCTCCAGGTCTTTCAAAGCTGCTGTGTGAACTAAGATTTCATTTATTTTTCTTCAGTATTTCCATATCAGGCATTAAGGTGTTCAGATTTAGAGTTCCATAATTCTTTGTTTTTAATTCCTGTCATTGAAATTCACTATCGTGAATGCCAATATTCAAAGGAGAAAAATTCAATTTTCTTACAAATTACACTAACAGGTTTTTTAAACATTATGCTATATCTGAATTCTTGAAACCTCTGTAGAAAAGTTTTCTTTTTATTTAAAACTGTCGTTTGTCACAGTAAATGTCAATTATTGAATTGTTTTTCCAGCAATTTTTCAGCAGACTTGGAAAATGAATTAATGCTTCTCTTTCAAAATGAGCAAAGAGGGATAATTTGTTTTTTTAATAAAATGACTTCTTCCAACATCTAAAAAATTATTTTCTTTCTCCTGTAGTTAATGATTTAGATGATATGTAACTTCTGCCATGAAGTAAAATTTTTTGATCCATTGATCATCCATTAGTTCAGGATATTGAACACTTGTTTCACGGAGAAATTCTTTAATTTTTAAGTGAAACATTTTCTCTTGAAAGCCAACATATCTTATTATGCAACAGAAGATCTTCATATTTACTTTCCATTTCCACTAAAAATTCTTTAAATTGGTGACGATAAAGAGCTTTAGCTAGAATTATGATGACAGTCTTGATCACTAGTTCCATAATATTGCAAATTTCTTATGGAAATGCTTATGCACAAAGATGAATGATGCAACGGTAAACAAGTATCTAATGATTAGTTTTTTTCCTTCAAAACAACAAAACTTTTTTTCACTCCAGTCATACATTTTGCCCCACCTATCGAAATTGAAACAATTTAATCAAATCGAATTATATTTCTCGATGCATTCAATGATAGCATTGCAATATCCTCACCATGTGTTTACCCTTTCAGTGGCAATAATCTAAAAGTTCCTTACCAATAGACAAAAATACATCAAACAAAAAATGAAACTTGTGTCATTTATGTCACAAGATTCATACATAAAAAAGGAACCAATTTAAGACGTTCGATTTGCTGATTGGTTATATTCAAAGGCATTTTGACTGTTCTGTCTTTGTTTTAGCAGACAGTGGTAACTCTCACATATTTTTTAAAGAATTTCTGCCTTGTTCTTAAAATTCTGGAATAACACTTTGAATGAAGACATCTGAAATGTCTAAATAAAACAACTTTTAATAAATGTCTACATAAAACATATGTAGACATTCAATAAAATTTGACATTCATTTTAATCTATTCACCGTATATGTATGAATGGTTTGCCTCTCTTAGCACTCTCTTGACTAACATTGTTGGGAAATTACACCCAATAAACATAGAACTTGATTTTTCTTGACTTTTCTGAAGTTCCTCAACCGCTTTCTTCCTTGCATCAACCGCAGGATATTTACTGCCTAAATGATGTGTGTTTAGTTATAAAGTTTCTCTCCAAATTTAATTTTTCTTGTCATGTGCCAATTTTTCTTGATGAATAAGACATGTTGGAAAGCCATTTGAGCTTTGTACAGATGTGAATGATGTAGTCCATTCAATTTAAATTCATGGTTTTTGTCTTCCATTTTTCTTTGTTGCCATGTCAAATACATGGCATCTAAAAACATGTTTCGTTTTATATGAGCAGCAACACACAGTTATACCAACTTGTTAAATTAATACCAAAAATACTTGCAAGATCTGTATCTGGCTAAAAGATACAGCAGGTTAATGTGTTGAATAGGTACTCTCATTACTTGCATGAGAATTTTCAGCACACTAGGAACTGACCACTGTACACATTGATAGACAAGCTGTGAATGGCTCACTCTTGCTTAGCTCGTGCTTTGTAATGACTTTCCTTAGCACATGTTAAGCTTTACTGATGTAATTGGCTGCTACACACTATTGGTGATATATCATAAAAATGCCGACTTGTTGTTCTGCAATATTTTGTCACAATGTAGAAATTAACCTGAATTATCACAGTTTAGGTGGTTGTTACATTTGGCATGATTATTATGGAAGGTCTTCTGTCTGGGCTAATGCTAAGGAGAAAGAAATTAACAAGCTACAAATTTTCCAAAATAAATTTTTCCATTGTATTACCTGTGGAATGTTTTCCCCTGTATGGGCTAATGCTTAGGAGAAAGACATTAACATGTTACAAGTTTTGTAAAACAAAATTCTTTACACTTCAAATTTTGCAAAATTAATTGATCTTATTACTGAAGCTGCTTGGTTTTCAGGAACAAGAATCTGCATAATGACTCTAAGAATGATTACATTAAGGACTACCTCAATAGCTAAAAGAAAATTTCTACCATAATGCTGAAACAGATAATGCTGCAAATTTTGCTGAAATCTTAAATTAGGAATTTGTTACAGAATATTAGTTTTCCAGACTCTAATGCAGCACATCTGTTCAACACGTTAGACCTGTATATATCATCATCTCTCCTGCACAGTTTTTAAATGTAGGAACATCTCCTGCTTCATATTAAATGTCTTTATCTCACTTTTCTTCATGTCAATCTTAGTACAGCGAATAGCACACAATGCTTCAGAGCTTAGATTAATGGTTCGATCCCAGCTGACAGCATTTAAAATTTTTTCCATTTATGCTAAATACATCGTGAATTTAATAATTCAAAAAGAATATATATATTACAAAGTGTTATTTTGTCCAAACTATCGATCACTGTGCCTCGGCTCGGCTACTGGCAAAACGGATACATAGTCTAGTTTACATTAATAGCCACTAGATGTCAGTTGTCTTCTGTTTTGTGTGGTAACTGTCAAATGTTTAAAATGGCTACTCTGAAGCAGAAATTATTTTGTGTTCTCGAGTTTGACATCCTGTGACTTCTTCCTGTAGGATTTCATTAAAGACAATGTTTATGTACCACCACTCCCACAGAACCTGGAAGAGGTGAAGAACCGGATCCGTACTGTCATAATATCAGTGACGACGGACATGCTTGCCCGAGTATGGGAGGAATTTGAGTATTGATGTGATATTGTTCGTGTCGCTGATGGAGGACATATTGAACATCTGTAATCTGAACTTGAGAGGTTCGTACATATGTGACTAATACAGTTTAATAAATATATGCATTTGAAATACGTATATTCTTTTTAAAACCTGCTGTAAGGTCATTTTTATATTATCCAACTCATGTTCTACATGATTCATCAACAATTATATTTTTCCTGCATCTGTATCTCTACAATAAATTTTTAAAGATTCTAAATCTGTGAAGTTGTGACTCAAACCATGAACTTTACTCAGTATACTGATTCAGGTCTCTGAACTTCTCTCCCATGTCCTATAGACCTAAGGTTTGTACGTGACCATGTGTGTTATTGTAATTAGTACACTCTCCACAATAATAATAATAATAAATAAAAAAAAAAAAAAAAAAAAAACTGAAAGATTTTAGATTATGTCCAAAAGGGGTGATTATTTTTCCATTTACAAACACAAATACATATTTCAAGAGTATTTCGGCTAATATCCTTTTGGGCTAAAGATATTTAAAAATAGCATATGTTTATAATTTCTGACAGACAGTCTCATGGACTGGAGATAAAAAATTATTTTTACGTACAGTGTTGCCACTGCTCGCTTTGAAATCGTTGAGTTTGTTAATCAAAATTTCATTAAAGTTTTACAAAATATGAAATAGAAAGTAAAACAAATCCCAAATTCGAGCTCCCAGGTGCTCATACGCAGATGAAGGACTACATTATTCAAAATTTAATAGCTCTAGGTACCGTTGTTTTTTCACAATGTTGTACCGAGAAACATACAGACTTTCTTAAAGATTTTTCATTATCTAATTGCTTTAAATATAATACATGGCGATAATATTTGCTGGCAACAATTTGAAAAGTGATACATTGCATTTAAGTGATTCAATGCAAAATGCCGTTTTGAGACTAATAGCCCCTTTGGGCTTAAAAAAATGGGGACATTCCTGTATCATCCATTGTACTGAGCTAATTGGTGAAATTTAACTTGCAATTTTCATATCTCAAAAGCACAACTTAAGATATATACAGTACAAAGTGCGAAATCCGGACTGATCTAAAATCCAGACCTCAAAACCGTTTTCTTGTAGGCTTTATGCATGCGCATTTGATTCCCATTTCACCACATAATGAAACACCTGGAGAATCATGATTCTTAATTTCACTTCAACACTAAATATT